TCAATGGTCTCTCAACTGCTTTTCATTAGAGGTTAGATTCAGGTTAGATTAGATGTCGTAGCTGGACAGAACACATGTATGTATAGATGCAATTGTATGCAATGTTTCACCAACACCCAACAACAGAAACCACTCTTGAATCTTGGATGGAATCTTGGATGGATGAAACCACTGTTTGGCCTTGAAGACAAGCTGCCAAAAAAGCGTCCAATGCAAGATTAAAGACTCAAATCCGATGCCAGGGAACATAATCTTGTTGAAATAAACAGCAACCTCTCTGGGGTTTCAGCGTCCAATGGCCTTCTGGGGTCTGAGCATCGAAGTGGGCGCTGGCCTCAGTTCAGCTTTAAATCGTGTTGACATGAGGGGTTGACAGAAAAAGACGTGATGGGATGTTTAGGTCTGTGATATTTGTTTGTGCATCTTCATTGGATCAGGGTCGTGACAGTTAGAGACACCAAGTCTAAGTCTACAGTCCACATCCACATAATCAGTTTTTGACACAGGTTAGTGTTGACAGCGTCGCCCGAACGAGGCTAATTGATGGTGCTGGCTTCTGTGGACGCCTTGAGCGGCGATGAGGCTCACAACAAGCCAAGGCTTGGACCTGGGCCTGGGATGAAGGTGTTGGCACCAAAACGAAGACCTGCCAACGGTTTCAGAAAGCTAAAGAAGAGGGTTTTGATATCCGTTGATCCCCAAAAGCTTCACTATCTCATATCATCGCGCTGTGGCTGCAATGCTGACTGCTTTGACGTCTTCAGAAAAAATGAGCACTTGTGGACACAATGGCTTCGTCTTCGGAAGCTTCTCCGTTCCATGTCGAAGTTGGAACAGGACAATCATGTCAGGGACTTGGCTTGGTGTTCGCGTTCAAGTGCCACGCAGAGTTTTTCAAATGTCATTGTGCAGTTTCATGCAGTTTCTGTATTCGCTCGCTGGCTTCGAGGTCTTTGCCACAATCAAGGCGGGGTCGGGATCTGGGCCTGGATGTCGGGGCAGTCGGAGCTTGGAGCTGTTCGGTGTCAAGATATGCAACCGTGGCTTTACGAAGCTACTTTCTATGGGCAAATCGCGCTTTCGAAGGATGAGGGCGGCGATTTTGAAAGGGGCTCAGCATTGCCCTTTTGATGCAAGATACATTGCAAAGGGGCCTCGAGAACCGTCTGCAGCATGGCTGGCCTGCCATGAGTTTCTGACGAAGTTATGGTTGGAGAGTGCGGAACGCCTCCCTGATGGACTCAACAGCCGAAAGCGCCCTCGACAGGGCTCACAGAAACGGGATGATCCGCAAATGGATCGCACGAACCTGAAACACCTTCCACCTGGTTCCATCCGTGACTACTGGATGCAGTGCTGCGCATACAATGTGCAGCGCAGAATCTCAAGAAAGCTTTTCTCGAACGCTTCCTGGTAAACATTCAATGATGATTTGCTGTGTTTCTTCAATGGCGCCCTGTCTAGCAGTATTTGCAGTAATGATATACCATGATATAACATGATATACCGGTTGGAATTGCAACCATGTGCAACTCCAGGTGTGGCAAACAGCCTTTGCCGACAGGCTTCACATTCGCTTTAGCACGCATCACAAGCGCTGCACACAGTGGGTGAGACATAGACTGATCCTGAAGAAACTGGGAAATTGTGGGCCGGCCAGGCGTGCTCAGCAGGCCTTGCTGGAACGTCACCTTGCCCGTCAGTACAAGGACCGCCAGTTGTACTGGCTAGTGAGGGCACAATCACGTGTGCAATCCCTCAACCCTCCGATCTACACTGTGTGCGCGGTGATTGACGGAATGGACGCCGCCAAACATGCCTGGCCCCGTTCGCGCAAGTTGGATGCCAAAGAGTTCAATTCTTTCAATCGACCTCGCCTGGCGAACACAACCTTGATCCTACACGGTCACTCCATTCATGTATTCTTGTCACCCCACAACCTCTCATCGAACTCTTCGCGAAGTTGTGAGTTGGTGGCCGGTGGATTGACTGCATTGAGCCGCTCGGTGAACCTTCAATCAGTCTACTTGCACCTGCAGGCGGACAACTGCAGCAAAGAAACAAAGAACAACGGTATGTTACGCATGGTGGGATCCCTGGTGGCACAGTGTAAGCTCGCTGGAGCTGAGCTCCAGTACCTCTCATCGGGACATTCTCATGAAGACATAGATGCATTGTTCAGCCTCATGAGAACCCACATCAACAGCAATCCGGAGTTGGAGTCACCAGAAGCCTTCCGACGCTGCTATGAGAATTTCTTCGCAGATAGCCGTCGAAGGCCACATGAACGAACGCGTGTGGTGCAGCATGTTACGCAGTTTAGGGACTGGCTGCTTGTCTGTAATCAGCTGACTATGTGTGATAGATTCTTCAGTGCTCTCAGTGCTCACGCTTTGTTTGGGTTCAAACTAGGCCAGCATGCTTTGCAAAAAGCAGATTGACAAACAATCACTGAAAAAGCATCATATACCACCAGGGATTCATATATTGCTCCAAGCTCAAAGTGCCAGCATCTTTACTCTCGCTGCAGGAAGAATTGGCTGTCGGAGTGCTATGGGCACGCGCACATCTTCGGAATAGGGGGGGCCAGGGGCCCCCCATGCTTTCAGATTGCGCCGGTTCATCGACGCAGGCGACAAACCAAACATTGTGTTTTGCTAACGGTCTTGAAGCACTTCTTCGAAGCTTGCAAATCCTTGTAGGATTCAGCCGAGATGATCTAGATTGCAAGTTCTGGACGGGTGTTCCATATCGCCCGGATGATCGGGATGTGATATGTGAGCGCGGGACCTTGTTGAATTTGGCAATGAATAACCAACAGTAACTAACAGCAATCACTAGTAAATTTCTGTAAGGACCAAGCAGTTTATGTCCGACCTCGCCTATGACAAACCCATGCTGTACCTTCCTTGGAGTGTTGTTGCCCAGTCGATGGGCGATACACCGCCAGGCTAGAACATCAAACCAGAACGCCAAAAGGTTTGAGACTGTTCGTTCATGTTCTCTGATTTTCTTTGGCAGTCTTCATCGATACGCCAGAGAACCCGGAGAGCCAAGAGAACAAGGCCTTCCGAAAGTATGCGAAGTTGATGAGTTCTGTCCTCATGTTCGTGGAATGATGCGACAAAGCAAACTCTTTGGAAACACACTCGCAAGCGAATCAATCCCCCCGAAAACGGAATAACGGATGCCATGAACCCTTGTTTGTGAAAATTCATTCTGAGGTGAACATCCCTTCGACATGCATGAAGCTGCGCGGCATCTGGAAAGCATGTCTTATGGCAATCCCATCCATAGCCCCTTCCTGGATGTGAGTTGGCAGGGGCCCCATTGTTTCTCTCATGGGTTTCGTCTCGCGCCCTGTGCCTCTGAGGGCTCTACCGCACGCTGGACCAAGAGTCGGCCTGGCAGTTGGGCCGCCAGCGGCGGCTGGTGGGGAAGATCTGGAAGCTGTGAGGGGCCAAGCCTTTTCTGGGTTTTGAAGGGTTGTTGAACTTTTGGGATCGAGGTGGCCAATTCACTTCGATTGGGGAGGAAGAAACCTGAGCGTGGGGAAACGGCCCGCTACCGAGCGGCCCGGAATGATCAAGCGCTCCATCGAGCTGCTTCCCAGCTTTGGGTTGAAGGTGTGCCCATGCGAAAGGCATTGGACATCGTTTCAGGTGTGATTTCACAAGTCGCACAATAGGTAGGAAAACTGGTGAGGGGGTAACTCACCGGCACTGCTTGAACATCGCATGGGGGTGTCACTTGACACTTGATAGTTGAGATTTGAGATCTATGGCAATGATTGAGCCGTCTATATACGTGCCTACACCTATTGCGATGAGAACATGGGTATCTTTGGGTGGGGCCCATGAAAAATATGGTGGGTCCCATTTGTGAAGAATCTGTAAAAATATGGTTGGTTTTGTGAAGTGGCAATCCTTCACAGATTTGTGAAGACACACAACCGGCAATTTTGTGAATAAAATTGTCGTGTTTATTCACTAAACCAATGGGAATCACCCAAAGACTAGAAGACATTTCACTCAGGGCCTGATTTCTGCGCCCGAAGCATTTGCCGAGCTGGTCCGTGAATAAAGCTGTCGTCTTTATTCACTAAATAGCCGTGTTATCGAACAGCCTATTGCGTGAAGAATTGTTCATTCACAAAATGTTTGATATTCGTATATATTCGTCACAAAAACAGAATGATTCTCTTAGCGCCGCTAGCATTTCCCAACTTCTGATTTCTTGAGCCGCCCCGCATTCGGCCAGGTGACCATGGCACCAAAGAAGCGGACCTCAGGCGGCGGTGAGCCCAAGGCTAAAACCGCAAAGAAGGCTAGTGAGGGCATCGCTGCAATACCAGCAGATTCCATGGCCCTCCCACATCTCAAGATCTATGAAACATGGGCGTTCCTGTGATGCACACTAGAGAGTTGTTCAAGATTCAACGAACATTCAACACCGCTTGCTCGCGCAAGGAACGAAAACTTAGCCAAGTACAACAAGACATTGGATGTCTTCCTCGCGGAGAACCTGGCTGATGAGGCACGCAGGTTATCGCAGGTTGCTACCTTGCCATCGGTTTTGGTCTCCTTGTTTTCTTTACAAAGATTGGAGGCAACGGCAATGGGGTTCTACCGTTGGCTGGATGAAACATTCCCACCTGAAGCAGATGTGTGGTAGGCTCAGATTGAATTGATATAAATAACATGTGCGTGACTCCTCAAATGTTTGTTTTCCTAGGACCTATTTGACTGCAGAGATCATGGCTTCTTCTAGCAGCTGGCAATTGCGACCATATATGTTGCCACACAGGGCGGACTTCGGTTTGCGCGGTACAGCCGACAGCGTTCGCGTCTCAATTCAACAAACAAAAAGGCTGTTTGCTCATGTTGAAATGAGTTCATTCACTGTCATTGTCCAAGGAGGTCCAGCACAACCTCGCACTCTTGGTACTTTTGAACGGGTTTGCAAGCAACCCGAACACTCCCGGAGTAGAGAAGCTGACCATGACATCAGCTCAAAAAGCTTGGCTTCAGTCACCACCGACCAACTACAGGATGCGTGAAGACTTGGGAATGGTTGAGAGTGTGAACCTGGTCCCCCCACAGGCCTGTTTCGCTGTCAAGGGGTGGAACAGAAGCCTCGCTCTTCTCGGGGTGTGCTACTGTGCTTTCCAGACTCCAGCTCTCCTGGAGGCCAGGCCTCGTCGTTGTTCGTGGATCTTCAAGACCATCCATCGACCTTAAAAAGAAAGCAAAAATCAACAAACCAAGACTAAACATGTTGACGTATGTTTACTATTCTGCTTGCGAGGCCATGCCGGCCCATGTGAAGAGGAGACCACATGATTTCAAATGCAACAAAAAATGAAATTCAAGTGGGCGTATGTGAGAGTTCAGATCTATGTTCAAGGAGTTTCAGCACCATCTACGCGAATAGCGTTGAGCCGGATATCACACGTGTGGTCAACACCAATCGTGGTCAGGGTCTGAGCATGGCTTAGTGTGCTGAATTCGCTTTCACTGAACACGCTAGAAGACCTTGCTTTTTTTTGGCTGTCTTTCTCAACATGTGTTGCGGTGCGTTGGTGACGCACCAAGATTCCTTTTGAGTGGCAGGAGTGACCATGTCAACGGTGGGTGTGCGGCGGAGGCCAAATGCCTTCAACATCGTATGGCAACTTGAACTCTTGGTTCGGAGTGGAGTGAGTGAGCAGAACGCCATCACTTCCTTGGAGGCCATGGCCTCTATACTGAACCATACTGAACCTAATGAATAGTCAGAAACACAACTTGTGCCAAAGAACAAATCTTGTCAATCGCAAATCTTTTGGTGTTCAAATGTGTGTTGCTTGGTCAGACCTATGAGACTGCTGCCCAAGTGGCCAGCGTGTACTCGCTGGGCAAGATGGAGAGCGCCGCGGCTGTGGCACTCCTGCACAAAGTGCCGAAGCCAATCAAGGAAGCAGTGACCATCATGGTGAGGCCGGGAGTTTATGAGGGATGTCCAACATATTTTGGAAAATCTATTCTTGGGCTTGTTATATGGCTTGTTGCCAGGCAGTATGGGATGCCTCGCTTCATAACGCACGAGGCCATTGCGAATGGCCTCCTGAGTGACAAGTACTGTTCGGCCACAGGCACACTGGGAAATTGGAAAATGGAGCTGACAAACTCTGAGGCATTGCTTCAACTCTTAGTCAATAGAATGGAGACTGATTGGCTTGCGACACCTCCGAAGCAGCGTCGACCATGGCATGTGAAGGAACTCGACACTTTGTTCTAACTTGGAAACATGTGAATGGTGATGCTTTCAAATTCAACAGACCTGAATTGATCAATGAACCCTATCACCGACATTGCGCTGCTGCCCAGGAATTGTTGCAAAGGAACTGCGGAGGATTTTTGGCCTGCCTCGATGCTTTCCAGAAAGCAGTTCCCAAGGACTTCGCCGACAAATGCCTTCTGGAGATTCACAAATCGTTTCTTGGTAAATAGTTTGCTGGTACTTGCAGTCCCTTGCATTCATGTCCCATTAGACTGACCAGTTACACAGCAGTTGCAACGCAAAGCCCTATAAGGTTTGACCTCCGACACGGAGACGGAGATATCGGCTTGATGTTGGAATCTTCAGTACCTCCACCGGACCTGCTGAAGATCAGCATCTTCAGCCATCACCTACAGAAGTTCTCTATGGAGGCTTTTTGTTTTCATTCAGCTTGGCTGCAAACACATCGAACAAACCTGCGAGCGAGTTCAATCTCCTCGGCAGGCTGAGAAGCAGAACCGGGATCGAGCCGCCAAGACCTTTGGCAGCAATGAAACACAGCGGGAAGTAGCAACAACTTCGCAACAGAAGCGTTGGAAGAAACATGAAGAAACACACTTAAGCTTACTTGGAATTCTGCGGCTTCAAAACGTGAGGCTGTCGCAGCAGCTCTTGCAAACAACCATGGAACAGCTGAAGCTTACCATAGAAGGTGACTTGATGAAACTTCGGCAATGGATGGGGCGCTGGGATGTGTTCGCATCTCAGCAGGTGGGGGGGCTCGATGGTTCTAAAGAACAAAGTTTGCTGTGGCTTGTTGTTTGGATATGTTTGGGCAGTTTGATGTTTCAGGGGATGCTCGATGTAAAGTACATGGAGGACCGTTATTTGAGGGGCAAGACTTTTTGCAATGAATTCTTGGAGAGCCGCCACAAGCTTTTATGCCTTAACCAGCTGAATCTGGGGCACGCGGCCATAGTCTCCATGCAGTCGGAGATGGGGCCTGACACGTTTCTGAGCTGAAATCAGCCAAGAAACAGTAACAATGATTCGAAGTTGGAAGCGTTACCAAATATGTACATCTGTATAATATATATAAATATGTATGTGTGTCTCTCAGGGTCACCATCATCGTGATGGATTGCACCTTGTGGCCTTCGCGTGCTTTGGAGGAAACATGCGTAACGAATCGAAATAGATTGATGATTATTTTCAAAACCAATGAACAAACACATGTTTCTAACAAACACCACTCTCTAACAAAGAAGTTGTTGAGGCCACCTGTTGATCGACGAGGCCATCTCTTTGAGCCATGCGATTTCTTCAGGGAACACCAACACATTATGCTTCGCGTGTCTCCCGCAAATTCACTCTTCAACCACCATGGCAACGGTGATGAAGAACCGGCGACTTTTGGAGGACAAACTTCTGGCGTGCATGGGCAGCAAGAGAGTAAGAGTCTAGGAGGAAGAGGGTTTAGAAAAATGCTTTCGAGTGAATGTTCAATAACTGTGCTTGCACGCTTGCCGCGTACCCTAAGTGTGATGAACTTCTATGAAGTTTCCTTGAACTATGCGCCGGCAGAGCACGGGGGTGATCGCCGCAAGACCTCCCAGCAATGCCCTTCATTCGCATTGAGCCGGCATGTGTGCATGATGTGCGCAAACAGGAAAACCGTTATTTTTATCTACAGTACTTGCGCAGTGTCGAAGGTTTGGATTCCAAACGGCAGGCATCGCTTCAATGGCTGGAACAAGTCCCACATGGCAGAGGAGTCGGTCATTATTGGGATCCCTGAATGGGATCCCCAGAAGCCGGGTTCAAGACCTTCAGAACCCCGATCCTGATCACCCTCTTGCACCTCACTGGCGGGTCCCTTTCATGAAGTGTTTTTGCAATTTCTTGCGTGAACAATTAATGTGTATCATATTGGGGGACTAGTGATGGCTTCCCCAATGCTTATGGCAACACTGGCAGGTCCAACAGCGCGGGATCAAAGCGACCACCCAGATCATTGCTGGCCTCCTGGAGGGGGTCGTCACCACCCCCAAGCAGCCGGTATTGATCGTAGACCTTTTGCCAACGAGGTGCGAGTGAGAAAACTTTCTCTTGTTTGTGATTGAGGCATTGTAATTGAGGGACTGTTAGAATTCCTACCAACACATAACAATAACAAAATCTGACCACCTGTCAGATTTGCCGAGTGGGGCCGGGCCGCCTGGAACCTACAAAAGCGGCTGCTCAACGATGAGGATCTATTGGAGAACCATCCCGAGATCAGGTTTGCAGCTTTGTATCACGCAGACAACGCTGCTGACCACACCAACTGCAAGGAGGCAGTAACCGGTCTCATCATGAGCGAGCACTGGGATTGTTCGGACCAAGCAGGTTCAAAGTCGAGGGGCCGCGCTGCATTTGGGGAGCCCTTACCGAGCCTGGAAACTTTGGCTGTGGTGGATGGAGAAGTGAAGACCCTCAACAATCAATTAGTTGTTCATCAATCAGTTTTTTACTGTTCATGGATGGCCCTAAAAGATTTAAGAACAGTCCAGGGATCAAAAACGCCCTCCATCAGCGCCCAACTCAGGATTCCGGATATGGTGCAGCAAAAGCTGACCGGACAACAGGAGTTCTTGAAGCGGTGCTTGGATGACATAGCTGCGGACACCAAGTTTACGACATCCCTGAAGAGTTGGCATGCATCATCAGCTACACCTACAGCTACAACCTCGTCGGCCCCTTCAGGCCCTCCCGCTGAGCGGCCTCCTCGAACTCTGGGTACGCCTGAGTGGGGCAGCGATGGACCCTGGAACTTTCGTCGGGCAATCAATGGTTTGGAGTCGATGCCGGCTGTTGACTTTGAGCCACTGAACCCGCCGCTTCGAAACAAATATGAAAAAGCTTTACTTTGTGGCAAGGTAGTTTTGTCAATATACCCTGTCATCTGAAGTGTTCAAATACCACAAAAAACCATTGTCCATGCCAGGTTGGCTGGCATGGCAGCAGTTGCTGGCAAGGCAGACCTTTTCGTGGTTGTCACCAGGACCAACCAGATCTGGCTCATCAACAGGGCCGATACGGATTGCGAGCTGTCGGCGATGGAACTGTTTGGATTCAACACAGGATCGTATTTGGAGGTGCCTGCAGGCCGGCGTAACAAGCGAATTAAACTTTCTGGCAATGCTTCAACCCTATAATCAAATTAGCTATGTACAAAAACAGTTTTTCACATCGGATCGTCGAACAGGAAGTGGAGATGTCCTAGCATCTTCGCTCTCTTGGAACCTCTCCAAGGACAGCGCGCTGATCGCAATGACAGGCACGAAGGAAATCACCACGGTGGCAGACCTTGTTTGCAAAGTTGCCAGCGATCGAGGGATCATGGAAGTTAGAGTGGTTGACCATACCCTCGAACCCATGCACAAGGTGGGGAATGATTTATGACATCATTTCGTCGCAGTGGTTCATGCGTGTTCATGCACTTGTTCATGCATACTCCAACGACGCCCAAATACAGCTAAGCTCCCAGTCTTGCCATGAAAACATATGTCCCAGTGACTTGGCCCAAACCCGAAAGGTGGACAGCGCTGGCCTTCAGCAACCTCTCCAGTACAGGTACCAAGTGAAGGCTTCGGCTCAAGTTAACAGTTTCCGGCCAAAGGAGATTGGCACAGAGGACAAGATGAACCTTCGCCCACAAATGCTGGGGGCTGTCTTCCACAACCATTACACTGACATCCCTCGCGCATCGCATTGCGGAATCATTTGGGAGGCTGAGTCTGGGATGAACAATTATCAACAGTTGGCAGGAATGTTCCTATTTTTAACAATTGTGAATTAAGACTTGGCCCCTTGCAGGTTCGTGTGGGAGATGATGTTCCTGTGACGGTGACCCCTGTAAAGCCCAAGTACTATCTTCTTGGCACCCTGACTGTGAAGCAAAGGCATGCAGTCAAGCTGTGCTAGGAAACCTGTTTATTTGAATAGATTGCGTTCTGAAGCTTTGCGGGTGAATGGCGAGGTAGCCAACTAGAAAAATTATGAAACATTATATTGAAGCATAATGGTCAAATCAAGATATATTATATGCACTCAATTTGGATGTTGCCCTTGCCATTCTTGAGTTTTGGTGGCTTCGATTTGAAAGCACTCACTTGACATTGAGTGTCGTCATCTAAAGGGAGCACCGCTCGTGGAAACAGTTTGAGCTGAGGGCCCCAGCATCCAGGTCCTTTCGGAACTTCACCTGTGAGCAGTTGCGCTTGGTTCAGGGACACAAACTAACAGTGTGGTTTTGGCTCAGGGTTGTGTTTTCCGGCGCCTTTCATGAGTGAAGGTTTTTTGAATTTTGTTGGCACCATGCCCCTAGCTGCGGTAGACGAGCTTTCGGATGACAATGGTGGTGGTCCGCTGAAAGAGGATGCGCCAAAGCTACCGCTACCAAAGCCAAAAGTTGCACCTAAGGAAAAGGCCAAGACTTTGCCAAAACCTAAGGTGGTTAAGGGTTTGGTGGCAGGCGCCTCGACAGAGGTCAAAGCCAAGGAACCGCTGAAGCCGAAACCGAAGCCGAAGGTTTTGAAACGACCGAGTGCACTCAGAAAGCCGGTGGGCAAATGCTTCTACAAGAATTATGACATGTATGGCTACAAGAAGGATGGGAAGCAAATCATGACGGTGCCTTGGCTTTCATTCATTGGAATCCCACACCATAAAACATGTGTTCCCACTCTTCTTCAGGTGCTCCAAAAAAACACGTGTTTCCACACAATCACTCTGTGAACTGAGTTCAAGCGAGTACCTGGCCTCAGCGATGACACCATTGAGGAGATCAGCGATCCATGGCTGCAAAAGCTACACCAGTGGAAGGGGCACATAGAGAGTTTTGAACTGTGGGTGTGGAACCTCAGGAAGCTATCAGGGATGCACTGAAAGATGGGAGTGTGACATCTGCTACGAGCTTGAAGGACCCTTCAACACATGTCCGAGCATCTTCTGCTTTACAAGAGGGTTGGAATGTTGATCCCATGTTGATATTCTATCACCTGATTGCATTGCAGGATTCAATGGTGGCAGCAGCCTTGGCAAAGGCCCGGTTGGAGAACCCTGACACCGCCGAACCCTTGGACGCTTTGGGCATGGAGGGTGAGGAGGAAGAAGCTGTGGAGGATGAGAACGTTGAGGAGCAATTCGTCTGAAACAACAATGCAAGTTTGAGTTGCCTACACAGGTGTTAGTAGAACGAGGTGAGATGAGGTGAGTCTTGTTCAAATGGATGTCTTATCTCAGGTGAACTTCTTCGGACCCTGAGCGCCCTGGATCTAGCGGGCCCTGCCGTGAGAGCGCTTCGGTCGACCAAGGCATGAAACACCCCACACACCACACCATGAAACCTGTTCTTCCACAAGTGTTTTCCATGTGTTCAACCTTTTTCCCACAAAACAAGTGTTCGTTGTGAGCGGGGTCAGAACAATGGCCTTGGAATGCCTGTGGCGCTTTGCTTGTTTGGCAACCTTTGCCACTGACATTGGTTGTGTTTTTTGGACCAAACGATGAGCCAAACAGCAAAACAGTTTGCGGCAAGCTGAAACGCTCCAAACTGTCTTGGAAAGCTGTTTGCACAGTGGTTCGGGTCGAAGAGTTCAAACCGGCTTTGCATCGATCGTTCAAAGGCTCAAACCAAATCGTAGTTCAAGACCTTGTGCACCCAAGATCCGCTATGAGTGCCCCAACTGAAACTAGTGAGACCAAGTGTGAGACCAGCGTCCGGGAGATTATGGGCAACTTGTCTCAAACATCAGTTCATGTCTTGGTGAACTTCCTTCTTTTGGTTTCCCACGAGTCTATCATTTAAGTTTAGGAATTGAATGGCCAATGGAGATCCTCCCGGCATCGAAGTACACCTACTCGATCGGCATTGGTGGTGAGAAGAACCCCGTTTCTGAAGCGGATGAGGAAATTCAAGCATTGGCCAAGTGGTTGTACGCTTCCAATGTGCTGAAAACAGCGGACAAGGATGTGATTGTGAGAGAAGAACTTTGCTTCATTGTGCGCAAAGATGAACTATGTTCAAAACCATGGTTCGCCCGTGTCCACTGCTTCGATGTCCGAGCACAAGAAGACATCGTTGTCTGTTTTGAGCTGGCGCAGCGATAAGTTTGGAGAAAATGAATCGTTTTTTTTGTGCAGAGTGTGTGTGTGTCTTGGGGCACTGGCACTTCAAAACTAACAACTAAGCCTGAAAGTTCACACTTGAAAACAGTTTTGGCAGTGAAGGAGGGAAGGCCCACAAAGGTTGATGAAGCGTGTACATGAAGACTATTTTCAATTTCTTCGTTGCTCCATTGCTCTCTGCGCAAAGTAGCTTCTTCAACCCCTGGAGCTCATACATCATACTCATGATGCATGGCCCAAAGCCAAAGCCCTAGATACAAAGCAAAGCCCCAAACAAGAGGAACACCGAATGAGTGTGATTTGTCCAGTGCCCGCGCAACCTTCTGCGGAGATCGTGCGTGTCGAGCGCGCGAAATGCAGGCGAGAGTGCGATTGCTCCGGTACCCGCGCGACCCTCTGCGGAGATCGTCGTGCGTGTCGAGTGCGCGAAATGCAGGCGACAGGGCGATGAGTCCCATGCGCGCGCGTATCTGGGGAGCTGGAAGATGAGAACTGGCGACTTGCTAGTAGAGCTGTAGTACGCGGAGTAGCTGGAGAGCTGGAAGATGAGAACTGGTGACTTGCTAGTAGAACTTTAGTACGCGGAGTATATGGGGAGCTGGAAGATGAGAACTGGTGGCTTTGTAGTAGACTTTAGTGCGCGGAGTAGCTGGGGAGCTGGAAGATGAGAACTGGCG